TCGAACCATCGGTCCATGACCGCATCCACCCAACTCCAATCCATTGCCCCTAATACCCTGTCCTTTTTCCCCCACCTAACCCGTGTTGTTTTGCGCACACGAATACGCCACTCTTTCACAACCCTCTCCACCGTGTGGTTCCAATGGAGCACCGTCAATGCCACCCGCGCCTCCATACTGCCGAGAAAGGCTACGCGCTTCGGCGCGTACTTTGTGATCAATGAGTGGAACGATTCATTGACCCAATTGTTGGCCCCTGTTACGTACGCCGCCATTGGACCAGGCCCACAATTCTTTGATAGCCACTCTTTGAAGGCAACATGCGTCTCCGAACCCGGCTCATACAATGCACTTTCCGCACCCCATCCTTCGGTGACGCAACGTGGTGTTTCGCCATCCCGCGCACAACACGTATGTAAGCCTGCCCAATGATCCGCACACAAAGCCATCTCATCCGCCACCTCCTGCGGCGTCATCGGATGCCCCGCTTCTGCTTTCGTGGCACAACGCAACATCACGTGGTGGAAGTGAATGCCAAGACGCTGGACCACCGCCACTTCCTCCACGCTGCTCTCTGTGTCACCTTCAATGCAGCCCCCGTCTCCCCGTGCACGTTTCTTACCCCTTCTCTCATGCCATCTTTTCTCACATCCCTCCGTCCCATTCCCCAATGCCCCATCCTGCTGTATGTCCCCCCCCTCTGCCGGCTCTCCCGTTTGCTGCCCTGGCGCCACAACTCCACCCAAGCAGTCTTCCCCTGTTTGAGGGGTACAATATGTAAAAAAGGATGTTATACCCAATCATCTTGCAATAAGCGTTGATTTTGGAAGTTATACGATATCAACTTACCCGGCAAGCATCCGTCCATCTCGTCGATGTCAACCGTCGGGAACTCGCTGCTCAGTAGAGATTCGGTCGTCTCTCGGATGTATTTGTTACAAATGCCCTCCCATACGGCATGTATGGGGTGCGGATCGAAGTCAAAAAGAGTATCAACATCACCCCACTTGAGCCCCAGCACTTGAGCAGGGTCATCCGTTTGACCATTGGCTTCGCTCTCCTCTTGACATCTCGCCTCAGTTTGCACATCCACAATCCCTCCCCTCCCACCCTCCTCCTCAGTATCCATTCCGACTGCCCCATCCTCCTCCACTACCCGTCGCCGCTTGATCGGCGGTTGTACCCCCTTTGTCCTAACTCTAAGTACCTTCCGCATCTCCTCGAATGCCCACTTCGCTGGTGCCTTGGCCTTTGCATCAAACTTGATCGTTTTCAACCTCTCGCAAACAGCTCTGATCATTGTTTTTTTCGCTGAACCAGCCGTCATCCCACCAAGATCTCCTCCTGTCATAGTCAACCATTCCCACAGCTCCTCCCGCGGTACCAACCACAAATCGGAACAGGTTTTGGCCTGAGACACCTTCATGGTACTGCGAGCCTCCACAAAGTGCTTCACAAACAGTTTTGTAAGAGCGCGACATTTGTTCCAGGCGTCCATCTAATGGATAATTCCTGTACCTTCCAACACTCTCTTGAACGATGCTCCATCGTCCGACATAATGCCCGTAACATTGAACCCCCATCCCTTCAGCATCTCTAAGCCACGTCTGAAAGCCACCTCTTCCAACTTGGTGGATGATTCTCCGGTTCCTTTTTTGGAAATCGTCACACTCAACAATATCTTACGCGATCGTGGATCCATGAATGTGACAGTGCACCACTGCGCCTCTCTAGCCTGTGACCAACGACCATCTACGCAAATGTACTCTTCTCCCGCCTTTTGACGCAATTGCATATCTCGTCTGACGTTTGTCATGCACTCCTCACCGTGCACTATGATAGCCTCCCACAACCCAAATGGACGTCTCATGTAACGAAAAAATGTCTCCTTCCCGATTGATTGGATACCTAACGTTCTGCTAACCTCTGACATCTGCTGAAAACCAAGTCCCGCCATAACGAATACGCCCAAGAACCGGGGGAGTAAGAAAGACGTTTTGGGACCCTGCTTGTTAGGACTCCTTGTGACTTTACCACGCCTAGTAGACCAAAACTCCAAGGCTTTCTTGCAAGTACTACATACCCACAATACCCCGAACGTAGCCCATGTCACCTTGCATGAACGCAGCTGCATCAATCCCTTGCATGCAGCTCGTTGACAGCAAATTGCTCCAAGACTCATGAAAAACTGGAGCAGCACAATAGGGTCCAACAGACATACCACTCCTTTGAGGGTGGATACGGCTGCATCTGGGGACAACCGCCAACTCTTAGCCAGTTTCCTCGGGAGAGTTGAGACATGGTTTTCTGAGGTCGGGCTTTGGAAGGGAAGGAACGTAAAAGGGACAAAGGGTACTCAATAATTTATGTTGGCACCATGAGCAGTTATAAAGGCCCGTCATATCCCACATTGCCAAAACCCTCTCACCCGCCCACTCACCAGCCCCCCACTCTCCCGCCAACTCACCGCTCTATCTTACACCACTCACCACTCTAGCGTACACCACTCACCGCTCTTGCTTGCCCACTCACCCAATCACCCGCTCACTCTCCAGCCCCACACTTCGCCGCCCACTCACCCGCCCACTCACCCGCCCACTCACCAGCCCACTCTCCCGCCCACTCACCATAAGGCCCACCATATCACTCACCATCCCACTCAACCACCCACTCACCAGGCCACACACAACCAATCCACACACAACCAGCCCACATTCCAAACAGCCCACACACAACCAGCCCACACCCAACCATCCCACACACAACCAGCCCATGTACAAACAGCCCACACACAACCAGCCCCCACACAACCGGCCCACTGACTGCCTTGATGCGCAGACAAGTATATGCCATCACACCTGCGTACCCGTCAAGCGGGGTTGGGAGTGTCGCAGGCGGCACAGATGCAGTCGTTCGGCCAGTATCACTAGTACCCCCCCCGGATCTGCCCTCCCCTCCGATGCCCTTGCTTAGTTCCACAATCAATGGGCTACCCTCCTGCGTTGATTCCTGGACATGTCCCGGGTCTGGGCCACCTGCTTGACGCAGCCCCACACCCTCATCGAGCCGATTCCCCTCTCTCACTGCAGCCCCACTCCCACCTCCCTCCAGGCCCTGAGCCTCTCCTATGAAATCCCCCACGACCTGGGTATTGCCTTCCGCATCGTCCGAACCAGCTATCTGCGTATCTGCCCCCTCGGTAACTGCAGCTTCTCCTCTAGCACGCCTCTTGTTGTGCCCTGGGTAGGCAGGGTGGCGTATAGAGGATTCCAAATGGAGGAGAATGCGCATGGATATCCACGTGTGTTTGTCTAGATGTCGGTCTCTTCCAAGGTCCTCAATGGATGATAATTGAATAATGCAGCATGAGCGATGCGAAATGTCGTGTATGCATCTATTACGGCTCCTATATGTGACGTAGATGTTTGACCCTGGTGAGTTGCCAAATACCAAATGCGTTTACACTGTGGTGTGTACCAGCATCCCGCAATGCTCAAAATGCGGGCCCACGGCGGTCTCCTCCATGGCCGTGCCCGTTCTCCGGCACCACAGTCCCATCTGTGTTGCGTTTCCACTTGTCGAACTCATACTCGTAGTCGTTTGAAGAGATAGGCGCCCGTTCGAGCAGGTGCTCCACCGATGTCATCCTCCCCTCTTGGCTCAACAGGAAACTTGTCCGTTGAGCATCCATGTGCAATTTGATCTGGTCCTTCGGCGTCGTTTCATTCTTACCTGACATACCAAACCAATATCGCATAGAGGAATGGGTACGGGATCTTGGGAGAAGCGAGTACAACTTTTTTTGAGACAGAGGGGGGAGTGGATGCAGGTAGCGTGTGTTGCATGATGTGCCAGAGCTCAAATAGAGGCTAAGGTGTTGCCTTGTGTTAGAGGTTTGACTAAACGGGGGTTAGGGAGGGGGAGGGGGAGTGGCGGGAGAAGAGGAAATAGTGTAGGGGGAGACCATGGGTTGGGCTGGGGTTCACTGACCACGAAAGGGTGGGGATGTCATGGATGGTACCGTGGGCAGAAACTCACATGAATTCGTTGCTGCATTGAAGAGTTTGTTGACGACGTCGGGTGATGAAGTTACCAGTACGTGCATCAGATCGTTGAACGACGCCTCTCTCCCCAACAGCGCGGTTAGACCGCACCGCATGATGGCAACAGGCAGGGTCATGTGCTTGTTGACTGACAACATCTTCTGTGGATCCTTATCCATAATGTTCTTCATGTGTTTCTTCAAATCGTCACTCGCACTGTTGCTGCTGCTAGCCATGCTTGAGGTTGTGCAACCAAGCTTCTGGGAGGGCACTCGATGGTATGTGATGCTGCAGTTGGGGAGTCAGAAGGCAGTAAGAGGGTTGGGGGCACGGGGAGGGGGAGCAGCGGCGGGTACTTAGTCGAGAAGAGGCATTCCAGGTACCCGCCTGCAGAGTGTGCCTCGAGCGACATATGGGAGGCACCTGGCAAGGGAGGGTGCGCTGGGGAGAGATGGGGGAGGGTGCATGGGGAGGGGGACCTGCGGCGGGCACTTAGGATGGAAGAGGCATGCCGTTTATAGGACTGCAAAGTGCGCCACCAGCGACACGTGGTTAAAGGCGTAGAGGCAGTGCATGAGGGGGAGAGGGGGTGGGGTGATTGGGAGAGCAGGGGGGTAGCGGGTGATGGGGTACGTCGCGACACACGTGGGATTGGAGATGTGATGGGGTGAGCGGGGGGAATGGGAAGGGGGGGTACAGAGGAGTGGATGGTGGGGGCTAGGCGCTTCTACGAGGGTGGACGATGGGTGACACGGTGAGTGAAGCAGAGGAGCGTGTGACGGATCAGCCGAGGAGGTGGAGCAGCATCGGAGAAGTCGAGCATAGAGCAAGGAGGGCAGTGGTGGATAGTACGTTCACTGAACCGTCGGTCAGTGCCGTACGGTGCTCCCCTTTCCCACTATCCCCGTTCTGTTTGTTTGAGTTATTTATGCATTGGGTGCAATCAGTACCATGCTCTCAATGGCCTTGCTCCAGGCCCCTCGCATCATGGACGATGCTATGAGGCTGAGAAGTGGAGTAGGAGCAGCAGAGGAGACGAAGCTGCAGAGGAGACGAAGCAGAGGGGGGAGACGTACGAGGGAGGTACGGACGGAGTGATGCTTTCTCGGTATTGGAAACGGCAGCTGCTCCCTCACTGAGCGCTGCAGAGTGAAGGGGGCAGCAGAATGAGGGGAGGAGCGGAGTGTTGCGCGCTGTAGCAGGGGAGCAGAGGAGACCACATATCCGCGCTCCTACCACCTCTAATCCCTTTTCATAAAAAGGGCAGCTGCTACGTCGCTGAGGGCTGCAGAGTGACGGACTTGGCAGCTGGGACCCCGCTCCCTCCCCCCCCCCTCCCGTGTGCTGCTTCTGGTGCTGTGGAGTGATTGGAGGTCAGGTGAAGTGGAGTGGAGGGGCAAAGGAGATGTGGTGCAACAAATGGAGAAGCAGCTACAGAAGAGAGGCCACAAGGACACTTCCGGTGGCTGCGGGGGAAGTGTGGGGGGAGAGGGGTTGGGGTGAGAGGAAGAGAAGGGGGATCTAGCGGAGCAGACAGGCAGAGGCGCGCCTCACACCTGCTGAGTGCGCCACCAGACCACACCTGGGAGGCGCGTGCGGGGGAAGTGTGGGGGGAGAGGGGTTGGGGTGAGAGGAAGAGAAGGGGGGTCTAGCGGGGCATACAAGCAAAGGCGCGCCTCACACCTGCTGAGTGCGCCACCAGACCACACCTGGGAGGCGCGTGCGGGGGAAGTGTGGGGGGAGAGGGGTTGGGGTGAGAGGAAGAGAAGGGGGGTCTAGCGGGGCATACAAGCAAAGGCGCGCCTCACACCTGCTGAGTGCGCCACCAGACCACACCTGGGAGGCGCGTGCGGGGGAAGTGTGGGGGGAGAGGGGTTGGGGTGAGAGGAAGAGAAGGGGGATCTAGCGGGGCAGACAGGCAGAGGCGCGCCTCACACCTGCTGAGTGCGCCACCAGACCACACCTGGGAGGCGTGTGCGGGGGAAGTGTGGGGGGAGAGGGGTTGGGGTGAGAGGAAGAGAAGGGGGATCTAGCGGGGCAGACAGGCAGAGGCGCGCCTCACACCTACTGAGTGCGCCACCAGACCACACCTGGGAGGCGCGTGCGGGGGAAGTGTGGGGGGAGAGGGGTTGGGGTGAGAGGAAGAGAAGGGGGATCTAGCGGGGCAGACAGGCAGAGGCGCGCCTCACACCTGCTGAGTGCGCCACCAGACCACACCTGGGAGCCGCGTGCGGGGGAAGTGTGGGGGGAGAGGGGTTGGGGTGAGAGGAAGAGAAGGGGGATCTAGCGGGGCAGTCAGGCAGAGGCGCGCCCTACACCTGCTGAGTGCGCCACCAGACCACGCCTGAGAGTCGCCTGCGGGGGAAGTGCGGGGGGAGAGGGGTTGGGGTGAGAGGAAGAGAAGGGGGATCTAGCGGGGCAGACAGGCAGAGGCGTGCGACATGTCCCCCCATCAGTCCGTATCTTCTCACCCCCTCCCAAATAGCTTTCTCTCACCCCCCGAACTAACTACCCCTCACACCCCCCCCCCCCAGCTAGTAACCACTCACCCCCACACCTAGTCACCCCTCACACCCCCCACTGGTATCACCCACTGAAGATAAACCCTTGACCCCCACGTATAGTACCCTATCACTACCCCAGCTAGTAACCTCTCACCCCCGTGTACTAGGAACCTCTCACCCCATCTAGCAACCCCTCGCCATATCAGCGAGTAACCTCTGACGCCCCATAACTCACGCCCCAACGAGCACCCTCTAACCTCCTCATCTAGCAACCTCTCACCCCCCCCACACAAGAGCCCTCTCACACCCCCAGCCCGCAACGCCTTCCACCCCCCAGCTAGTAACACCAAACCTTTTCAGCTTGTACCCAGTCAAGTGGCCATCTAGTCACCCATCACACCCACCCCCAATCGCGGCCTCTCACCCAAAAACCTCTCACCCTTGTATCGCATCTCATCCCCCCATGCTAGCAACATATCATCCCCCCAGCTAGCAACATGTTTCCCACCCCTGCCATTCCTCTCATCCCACCATCTAGCATACTCTCATTCCCAGTAACGCATCATATCATCCTCCCAGCCCGCCTCATTGCACCCTATCAGCTAGCAACATCCTTTCCACCCCTGCCCTTCCTCTCGTCCCACCATCCACACTAACATCATCCCCCCAACCCCCATCATAGCATCTCCACATCTTCTCATTCTTCACGCTAGCATCATCACATCCGCCCGGCTAGCATCATCTCATTCCTACGCTAGCAACCTCGCTTCCCCCCTGATAGCACTTCCCCACCCCCACCCCCCCCCCACCCCCCCACCCTACACACCCGTTCGAGCACACTTTCTCTCACCCCTGCATGCTTCTTTTGCCCTTCCATTACCCCTCGGTAGTTAGGAGCTATTTCCACGCTTCCCTGATGTGCAAACGAAAGCCCATCCAAACGCCGTGTCATCCGACACATCCAGCTCCTCCTGATCCTCCCACGTCCTGATAGTCCCCTGGAAAGTGGCACTGACCATGCCTCCCACACTTGTAATCCTTTCCCACCTTCCCTCCCCCCCTCCCCCCGCATCCGTCAAAATAGCTACATTGCCCTCCCCTTTACCTCCCGTTCGTAAGCCCTGATTTTCCGCTTACCTCGGGTCGTTTCGGTTCCGTACTCAAACCCGTATGCCCTCAACATCTTCCCACGGTTTCCCGTGCTCAGGCACTCGCATTCGGGAAGCCACCAGGCTTCTACCCGTTGGCATATCCCCCCTCTGAGCCAGCTCACTCTAACTTTTGCCCATCCCGTTTTTCGTGGATCCTCCACAGTGCGCGCGTGGCTCTCGCGAGAACCGGTCCCCACTGACCTTCTCCAGCGGCGGCTCCCTCCATTGTTTTATTTTCGCCATACGCCGTACATGCGTTGGTGTTCGCGTGGCTCGCGCTAGGTTATTGAGGCCTTCCCTCTCGTGCGCTGCCCTCAACACTCACCAAGCATTACAACCGTGCAATTTACGGTGAGGCATATTTTTTGCATGTTGTTATAAGGATTCGTTCATCATATTCTCTCCCGCTCACCCTCCTAACAGGCGGAGTCCGATGCGGCAGTTGCACGCGACGATAAATGTAAGGAGGCGCTGTGTCGATGATGTGAGTGAGGAGCCTGGTGTACCAATTGCGGCCAGCGGGAATGAAGCCCAGGTTTCACCCGTCGCCTTTTACCTACTGCGAGAGGTGCATGCTACTCGGAGGCCTAACGACAGAAGCACCTGACTGGACGGAAACCCTAATTTTGTTTTAGTTTATGTGACGCGGATGTGGTTGCCGCCCTTTTCTAGCGTAATACGCTTGGTTGTCATTTTGACTGGCGAGATGGAAAGCTGTGTGAAACGCAGTCTCTATATTTCCCTGCTTGTGTAATATGGTTGGTCTCCCAGCGGGAGAGTTTCGCATAGCGGGGTTGTGTCGCACGACTGAACCACCAACTTGTCGCTCTAAGTCGTCAGGTGCTTTTCCAGACCTGGGTTTGGTGCACGTTTGATTGTTGGCCTTCCCTGGTTGGGTCACGACAATATTTCTAGCCGAGAAGCACAAACCCAACCAGCCCCCAACACTGTGCAAACCGCAGGTGTAGTTTGGCGACCCTGTTACCAGTTTTCTACCGTATTACACTTGGTCGAAAGGGCGGAAATATGAGACGCAGGCTTTAATCTTCGTAGACTCCGTCCTTAGTCTCAAACATCTTCTCGCGCGACTCCTCTTGCAGTTGCATCGACATAAAACACTAGTTTGTCTCTTTTGTCGTTTCTTTCATTGTACATATCAATTTCTTGCTGCTTGGCAAGGAGTGTGGCCCAGAGGGCGGCTTCGGAGATGGCTCCTCGAGCGCGAAGCAACGACTTGCATTGGCGCCACTCTGGTCATATTCATAAAACGACTATGGTGACGAACATATTGTCAGGGACGCTTCCGTCGCACTTCTTATATTGGTAGCGCATATTTTGGCTGTGATTAATATAGGGTCCCGCTTTCTCCCCTTGAAGCATTTTGGTTGATGTTCGTTGGTTGAGCACGCGACTCATTGGTATAGGATTTGTCGCCATGTACATGTTGCGCAAGAATTCACATGATGCTTGCGTGGGAGCTGTCAGAACATTGTAGCTTATGCTGTTGTGTAGGCTATAGTGGGGTATCCCATAGGGGGTACAACCAATTAGGGTTTCATATTTGTACTCACATCATTTCATAGTTCACACATTCTTGTTCAAATCTTCTCATGGTATCGAGCAGGTTCCCCCTTGGGAACTGTGCTTAGGGCCCACCACATCGAGTTTTTTTTTTCCTGCCCGAAGCGCGCTCAGCCCGAGTCGCGCTCCGGGCCCTCACTTCGTCGAGCCGCCCTAGCGGCCCTTCCTCGCGGCCCCGCCGCCCCATCGCGCGGCCCCGCCGCCCTACCTAGCGGCCCCGCCGCCCTTCCTTGCGGCCCCGCCGCCCCATCGCGCGGCCCCGCCGCCCTACCTAGCGGCCCCGCCGCCCTTCCTCGCGGCCCCGCCGCCCCATCGCGCGGCCCCGCCGCCCTACCTAGCTGCCCCGCCGCCCTTCCTTGCGGCCTCGCCGCCCCATTGCGCGGCCCCGCCGCCCTACCTAGCGGCCCCGCCGCCCTTCCTCGCGGCCCCGCCGCCCCATCGCGCGGCCCCGCCGCCCTACCTAGCGGCCCCGCCGCCCTTCCTCGCGGCCCCGCCGCCCCATCGCGCGGCCCCGCCACTCTACCACGCGGCCCCGCTGCCCTATCTCGCGGCCCCGCCGCCCTACCCAGCGGCCCCGCCGCCCTTCTGCAGCGGCCCCGCCGCTTCTCTGCAGCGGCCCCGCCGCCCTATCAAGCGGCCCCGCCGCCCTTTCTGCAGCGGCCCCGCCACTTCTCTACAGCAGCCGAGCCGCCCAGCAGCAGAGCAGCCGAGCCGCCCCGCCGCCGAGCCGCACTGCAGCCGAGCCGCCCGGCCGCCCACCAGCCGACCGCCCAGCCGCCGAGCCGCCCAGCCGTCGAGCCGCCCTGCAGCCGAGCCGCCCGAGCAGCCCTGTCCGGTGAGCACAGACCCTCTGTCACTGCGTGCTCTTCCCCTTACTGCCTGCACTGCTGGTCTACTGCTGTCATGGCCACCCCTAGTGTCCTCACTTTTGACGCTGAGGGTCGGGCCATTGACTTTGAGGTCTGGGTAGATGACCTACAGCTGTTCTTACAGTGCGATAGGGCGGACGGCCTCTCTCTCTTTGACCTCACCTCTGGCGCTTCCCCTGCCCCTGCTGCTGATGCTGACGCCACTGTTCGCTCCCAGTGGGCCACGCGCGATGCTGCTGCACGTCTTGCTGTGCGTCGCCACCTCCCTACCTCCGAGCGTGCGCACTTTAGTCAGTACAAGAGTGCTCAGACCTTGTACGCCGCTGTAGTCGCGCGCTACTCCTCCCCTTCCACTGCTGCACTGAGCCGTCTCATGCTGCCGTACCTCTTCCCTGACCTTGCTTCTTTTCCCACCGTTGCTGACCTCATTACGCACCTCCGCACTAGTGACACTCGCTACCGCGCTGCACTTCCTGCTGACTTCTGCACCGCGAACCCCCCCCCCATGTACATCACTCTGTACTTCCTAGTCACTCGCCTCCCTGACTCCCTTCGAGTAGTCAGGGACCACTTTCTCTCAGTCTGTCCCACCACACTCACTGTAGACCTCCTCGAGAACGCCCTCCTCGCGATAGAAAAGAGCATAGTCGCTGTAGGAGCCTCTCGAGGTGACCCGCGCACCCCCATCTTTGAGGGGTGTTCTCCCTCCCCCCTGCTGCCCTCTGTTGCCTCTGCTGCTTCGGCCGACCTCCTTGTTCTTGAGTCGGTCGGTGCGGCGTCTGCCCCTAGCGGGAGACGCCGCCCTGGCAAGGGCAAGGGGGGCAAGGGAGCTGGAGGAGCGGGCGGTGGAGGTGGAGGTGGAGGCAGTGGGGGGAGTGGGGGTAGCGGTGGAGGTGGAGGTGGGGGTGGGGGGTTCGGTGGCGGCAGTGGAGGCGGAGGCCGCGGCGGCGGTGGCGGTGGTAGCGGAGGTGGCGGAGGAGGCGGCGGTGGAGGAGGCGGTGGAGGCGGCGGCGGCAGTGGAGGCAGCGGAGGCGGTGGAGGCGGTGGGGGTGGCGGTGGAGCTGGTCGCGGGTCTTTGCAGAGGAGTGGCTCCGGTGGTGGCTCGCGCCAGCAGCAGCAGCGTGGTCGTGCGACCCTGACCCCTCAGCAGCTCCGTGAGTGGTACACTGCACGCCAGCGGGGTGGGGGTTTTGGTCCGTGTACCTACGTCCTGCGCACCGGCGACCGTGCGGGTGAGCAGTGTGGGGGTGCGCACCCCACTCCGCGCTGCTTTGGCCGCCTGACGGACGCATGGCGTCACCAGTTCCCGGAGGCCTCCGAGATCCCTCGCTGGGACGAGCTGTCTAGG